GGAAGATCGAAGCGCGAGCCACCCTTAAGGGCGTGGACAGAAGGAAACACTTTTTTCATTTTCTCGCTGCCACGGTGCATTTCCGATCACAAAACGACAGCTCGCGAGCAGAATTATACCATAACAGTAGATCGGGAGGTGGAATAGTTTTTTGTTGAAAAACATACCTGCAGTAGGCTCGTGCGTTGCTATACCATTGGCCCGTTTACCACACAGCAGTATTACAATAAAAAAAACACACACACAAATCAATTATTTAATTGTTTTTGTTTAGGCTGAGTCTTACGGCGTGATTATTTCCGGATTGGATTTGGGGGGGGGGATAAGGAACCCATTCTCTCACCAACACCCTGCGGGTCACCCTGATGGTTTGCCGCAGGGTTATCGTTCCCCTCCTCAGCCATGACGAGGCCGGTTGATCAGGCCGCCCTCACAGTCTCGTCGACACAGTCCAGGGGGACGAACAGCAGTCGACTGACGTCGCTATAGCGTGTTGGTAAATCAGTGGCTTCTGGAGAAAGATATTGTATTAGTGACACCCAGGTATGGAGAGACAGGTCGGAGAGTGGAGTGAGGACAGGGGGCGTGCGTGATGCTCCCAGCTCCCAACGTCTCCTCCGGATAGATGCACACTCGGAACACAAAGCAATGCACCGAACACGACAATGACCCGTAAGCCCGACCTCCAGCGACAATGCTAGAACGTTCCTACTGGACAAGTGTCCAACGTACCACATACCAACGTACCGACTTACACCTACGGTCCGTTGTACGATCCTTACGTGTGTACAATCTACCGAACTACCATAAAGAGTATTCGCAGAACACTCGGAATGACAACCTACGATCGACAGTTCTGCAATTAAAAATATCCAATCACGTGTTCTACCGCAGCTCAGGCGATACATAAGGCCGCTACCACGAACAGGTGGCCCTTTTAGCGTTGTTTTTTTCGACGATGTAGAGCTGGTCTTGAAGTTGGCACCACTGGTCTGGGGGCTGCTCTCCTGACGGGAGTTTCTCGTCCGGCCCCCAAAGGCTATAGACTACACACAAGGGTCGGGGGGCACTGGCCAAGAATTATTTTGAAAAGGTCTGACTTGTCCTTAGTTCATTATCATTTCCAGGTGTGTCACGGAATTTCGGCCATGATCGCTGTGATGAGGAATTGGTGCACACGGACGTAGACATGTCGCTCTCGAACATCAGAAAAATTCCTTCCTGCTGATACCTGACTTGCTTCTTGTGGATACTCTCTCGCTACCCAATGTTTAAAACCACATCATCTCGGTCAACACGAACAGCAATCGTCGCATAGGCACTGTAATGCAATATTTTTGGTTTCGTTATCGGTGCATCTAGGTTCGGTCGTCAGAAACTGGGATGTAGTAGGTGACACACTCGCAGCGCAATTTAGGAGAGGAGACCCTGGCCCGTNCATCAGAAAAATTCCTTCCTGCTGATACCTGACTTGCTTCTTGTGGATACTCTCTCGCTACCCAATGTTTAAAACCACATCATCTCGGTCAACACGAACAGCAATCGTCGCATAGGCACTGTAATGCAATATTTTTGGTTTCGTTATCGGTGCATCTAGGTTCGGTCGTCAGAAACTGGGATGTAGTAGGTGACACACTCGCAGCGCAATTTAGGAGAGGAGACCCTGGCCCGTCGTACAGAGTGTATGTCTCTTTTCACCCATACCTTCAAGCCTTTCTGTTCTAGACAAAAAGCGGGTCTGTGCGCTGAAAAACAGTCTGTCTGGGCTGATGTTGGTAAAATACACCCGAGTGCAGAAACAGCGAAGGTGCCGTCAAATGCTTCGGGACATGCTTCCAGGGCAAGAGAGCGGGGGCAAAAAGCAATTATAAAATAAGGGCTCACCTGTCCCAGATGTGATTGAAGTCTCTCCGGATCTCACGAGCAGCTTGCAGATACTTGGGCCACAAACCGGCCTGGGTGTATAACTCCAGCTCTGCGCGAAAGTCCAGCAGAGACACAGCAGCGGGGAGGGTACGGTTAATCTTTTCATTCGTACCTCAGGTCTGCGCGAAAACAGATCTGACTACTGGTGTAGACTGAGCCGCGCCTCTAAAAGCCAGTCGTGTTGTTATGGGCACAACACGCTGTAGACTGAGTCGCGCCGTTAAATTCATGTCTCAGGTCTACGCAAGAGCAGAAAGATTACTATTTGCTGTAGAGTGAACCTCGCCTCCTACTGAACTCCATTCGTGTTGTTTTGGACACAACTCTCAGCTCAAGAAAATTGTAGTATCTACTGCTGCGTGTTTCTTATTGATTGGCGTCCTTCAAGTCGGTCTGTTCCCAGAGATTCATCGCGGCCTGTAGTAGTGCTGCAATGTGAGAGTTTCAAAGACGACCGGCACGTTCTGCATGAGACTGCGGGAACATGATCCTCATGTGTGTGTGTGTTTCCGACCGACCGGCCTTTTCCAAGAATTCAAACAAGCTCACGTTTGTCGTTCATTGTCGATCCGCCCATGATGTCCTTGGTCAACCACGTGGGCATCTCAACCTGAAGTACATCCTTGAGGTACCTCAGGAAGGCTGGCACGGTGAAGCTTCGGTAGTTATCCCTCGTGCATTTCTCTCTGCCCTCCTTTCCCATGAAGCCGTTCGCGCGCTGGATCACGGAGCACGCGTACCAGATGGCCGCGTGCTGAAGGATGTTCACGTTTTTGGCTGTCGCCTTGTCGCAACCGAGTATCAACCGCAGCAGCGCATTGGAGTAGTTGTTCGCGCCTTGCAGCAGCAGTGGTTCCACTAGCGGCATGATGCTGCGTGGTTTGATTGTAGTGGCATGATGTTGCGTCGTCTGGCGGGGGTGTAATTGNGTAAGAAGGACACTCTATTTTTGAGTGAGATTTTCCGAGTTGGATCCGGGTATCAATGAAGGTACCGATACCCACTCGTCTAAGCCCCTGAGGTACCCGCCGGCAATTTCGGTTTTACGCTTGCTGCTATTTGTCCTGTCAAACAGTGGGTGACCCTCATCGCTTTGTCCAAGTACCCGTCGAACAGCGAGGACACCGCCTTCTCGAGGATGCTTGAGAGCGTGCGCAAGGATGTCGAGCGCTTCTTCGGTATTCTGAAGGGACGTTTCAGGATCCTCAAGCTCCGCCTCGGGTACCGCTCCTAGGAAGACATCGACAACATCTCCACCTGCTGCATCCTGCACAACATGCTTTACACCTTCGACGGCATGGACGTGTTCGAGGAAGATGTCGATTGGGTGGGGAGCGCTGGCCTGCTCGACCCTTGGTACCATGACCCACTGACAGACTTCACCTCCTTGGGGTCGACCGGGGAGCTTTCGAAGGAGGAGGGGGGGGAGGAGAGCAGCGAGACGATCGACCAGCACCCCGCGCACAGAGAGTTCAAGAAACAGCTAATCGAGAGCTTCTCTTACCGGAAGAGACACAATGACATTACATGGCTTTCTAGACCCACGTGAGCCGTGTTTGTTTTTGCCACCACGCCGACTTTTTTGTTTTTTGACTACGCGGCGCTCCCGATCGCGCGGTGTATAGTTAGACGTGGCCGCCTTAAAGCTGGTGTTGTCGCGTGGGTTGTTTCATATGTTCGCTGTGCTGTCTTGCAACTGTCGGACTTTAGCATGTTTACAAATGTCTGAAAAGGGATTCCGTGCGTGGCCGTGCGTGTGGCGTTTGTGTGTTATTGTTCGCATGTTGTGTTTAGGGTACCGGTGCGAAAGTACCTTCTGATCAGCCTTGGTTACAACCACACCTTTTGGTACACCGCCCCGACTGCCTTGGAGGGAGAGAAGCGTGATACACTTGCTTGTTTTTTATTTTTTTCTGGTGCCAAGTTCGTTTTGATCAGCACCGGTTCATTTTTTTGGTACACCACCTGCCTTGGAAGGAGAGAAGCGTGACACATTTGCGCTTTTTTTTTGCCGGTGCCAAGTTCGTTTTGATCAGCACCGGTTCATTTTTTGGTACACCGCCCCCACGTGACTGCCTTGGAGAGAGAGAAGGGTGATGCATTTGCGCGTTTTTTTTTTTTTTTGCCGGTGCCAAGTTCCTTTTAATCAACACCGGTTCATTTTTTTGGTACACCACCTTCCTTGGAAGGAGAGAAGCGTGATACATTCGCGCGTTTTTCTTATTTTTTTCCGGTGCCAAGTTCGTTTTGATCAGCACCGGTTCATTTTTTGGTACACCGCCCCCACGTGACTGCATTGGAGGGAGAGAAGCGTGATGCATTTGCGCGTTTTTTTTTTTTTGCCGGTGCCAAGTTCCTTTTAATCAGCACCGGTTCATTTTTTTGGTACACCACCTTCCTTGGAAGGAGAGTTTTATTTTTGCCGGTGCCAAGTTCGTCTTGATCAGCATCGGTTACAACCACGCCTTTTTGGTGCATCACCCCCACGTGGCTACCGTGGAGGGAGACACGGGTGATGGACTTGCGTGAATACGTTGTTCTCACATGGATTTCAAGATTTCGACACACGCTTGTACTGCAGAAGTACGCGTGCAATATGCCGGTCACGAGCACAAGCATATACGAATACGGCGGTCGTGTACTTTCAAAGGTTGCCCAATGTGCCTTGATGTTACATCGTTGAAACGTACAGCACTACCCACAAGAAACACATGTTCGGCTGGCACGGACCGAACGTGTGTGTGTGTGTGTGCATTGTTAACACTGCCGGGGGAACAACAGAGTACAGGGTCGTTGCCCACCTCCAAAAAAAGGCACCTGCTATCACATGCTTCGAAAACAATACCAACACCTTGAAATATGCAGACACCGCTAACCCTGAGCCGTAAGCACACCCAGAAAAGAATCACACGCGAACACACAAGCAAGGCCGCCAGCCGATCCCCCCAACTCTTGCCACCGCAATCACGTGCCCCAGGTTCTGCGTGCAAATATCACTCGAAATCAATTTGGAGCACGCACCACGGAACCGTTCACAACCATATCTTTGGCAATCACTACCGCCGTGCATCCCGTTAATTCCTAACTTCCGCCACGCCTGCGTCGTCCTCGTCGCCACCGGCCACACCCTCGCCTGAAACCTCAACCGGGTCGTTCACGTCTCCCCCACCCTCCGTCCCGGCCACCTCGCCCCCTACTACCCCTGCTCCGTCGCCTCCGGCCAGGCTTGGAGTAGCAGAAGTCGGGCTGTCTAGCGTTGGAGCTGCCACAGGCAGGGGGGCGACTACGGGGGCGTCATACATGGCGAGGAGCGCTTTTTCAAGATCCTGGGCCTCGGGAGTATTCCCCTTCCCCCTCTTCTCATACAGTTCTAGCTTTTTCTCCATCGCCCCAACGTTCTCCTTCCAACGCGCACGCTCTGCTGCGTCTTGGTCGAGCAGCTCCTTGCTCACGACAGCCCTCGTCAGCGCTTTTACACTTTCAACCAATTCCTTCGTACTTTTGGAATCTTCCGGGGGAGCGGACAGGGCCTCGAAGGCACGGCGTTCCAGAGCAGCATCGGTTTCTGCGCTCTTAAGCTTCTTGTTCTCTGCGTTGACCCCGTGTGCCAGCGCCTTCATTTCCGCCCGGCTGTGCTTGCCCCCGGCCCCGTTCTTTAATTTAAGGCCTTCGTGCTCAAGGAAGGAGCGCTCTCGGCGCTCTCGGCGTTCCCATCGTCCAGCGACGGGCATGCAGATCCCGAGTCCGACTCCCTCCTTTTCGTTCCCCTGGGCGTCCCACTAGTCATTGTGAGCTTCAGATCAACATCCTCGTTCGCCCCAGCGGGCCTCCCGAAAACTGCGAAGACGAAGGAAGCCGGGTGCAGCCAGTGATCGGGCTTCTCTCCATAGAGACGCGTTAGGTACTCTTCGGCTTCTGAGCCCCCCGCCGTTCCCTCCTGCTCCTTCCCCTCCTCCTCCTCCTCCTCCTTCCCGCCAGCTTGCTCCAGCTTGATGCCAGCTGCGATCTCCTCGACCAAGTCAGCATCCGGTTTACCCCCGAGCTCGGCCTGTCCCTTGCCCGAATATTCCACTTCCGCACCCCCCCCCTCCTTTTGCCTGGCAGCCTCGACCGTTACCAGGGCTCTTGCTGTGGCGAATTTTATTGCCGCAGCTGAATAGTCACGCCCCGCCCCTTTGCCCCCCCCTTCACCCGCCCTCGCTCCTTCCACACCCCTCTCCTCCTCCGCCCCTGCCTTGTCGGCCCCTTCCCCCGTCAGCACTACGGGCTTAGCCTTCGCACGTGCATTAGCTGCAGTCTGTTCTTTCTTGCGTGCAACTGTCCTCCTATCCTCGAACCAGAGGTATAAGTGGAGATTCTCCCAGACATCTTCGGCCTGCATTCCCGAAGGGAGGTCGCCCTCCACCAGGAACTGAACAGGATGGCACCCAACGCGCGGGGTTCGGGTAAAACTTGAGCTACAGTAAACCCTTCACATTGCGCGTTTCGCGCGGACAAGTTGATTCGGCAACCAATATTTCGAGCGACTACACGTACGGTCGTAGGTACTACGTACGAGCGAGGCAGGTACCACTCCCGGTTCCCTTCCGATAGCGACAACCCGGGGGTAATGCAAAATGACTGATGGTGATCCGACATGTACCGACTGCATACATCTTTTCATACACAAACGACACAGAGAGTCGATCAAACAATTCTCCAGTAACACAACAGCAGCATTCACATGTGCATCCTCAATAAATGCAGCAGCAGCCAATTTTCATGAGCCTAAACCCCATACAACTACGAGTCAAGCAGCAGCTACAGTATGGAAGACCAACACAGCTGTCTCCACCACTGTCCACTACTGCTGTATATGTGCCTGAGCAGAAGATTGTAGATAGAAAGTACAGCTGGTGCCTGAGGCTCGGCGCTACAGGCTGCTGCTGTGCTGGGTTACATCTTGGATCTTGAACCAACATAGAGTTGGGGCTGCCGAGACTAAGTGTGACGCGGTAGCTTCACGCGGCTCGGCACTTTCATCTGGTTCGGCTTGTAGCACCCGTCATCATCAGCTCATAGTTCGCAGCGGGTTGCAGCAGTCGGCTCTACATGCCAACCTTTCACAGGTATTCACCAATCCGAATCCACGTGCCTGTCCCAAAGTTTGTTGAAGTCGTTCCCGATCTCGCGGCAACAAGAACTGTACTTGGACCATAACGCGCCGTCGGAGTTGTAGAGCCATTTGGCTGCGGCAAAGGGCGGCGGGGTGGCAACCAGGGCAAAGGACCGAGGCGTCCGTAAGATTTGTGTTTCAAAGTTGTATGACAAGGTCATCCACCATTGCTGTCGTATGTGTGCATAAGGCTTGTGCTCTACATTTTTACAGCAATATGTGCATGCACTTCTCGTTTGCTGGTCACCAGCACGACTACGCGCCGGCTGGCAGCAGCGGGCGAAAGAATGCGCCCACACAGCAGTAGACTATTACTACAGCAGCAGTTGTACAGCAGCAGTGCATACAGCCTGCTAGGCTAGGCGTGTGTGTGCGTGTCTCTTACCGGCGGCGTTTCCGGTGCTCATGCCCATAACGTCTTGGGTCAGCCAAGTCGGCGGGGTTTTGCTGCACACGGTCTTCCACCAACACAGGAAGTTTGGAACGGTGAAGTTCTTGTATTTTGTCTTCGCGTGCACGTCCCTCTGCGCGGTGGACATGGTCCCGGACTCCCGCTTGGTCACAAGGCACTGGTAGTAGATTGCCGCGTTTGGGTAAGTGTTACAAGGTTAGGAGTCTGCTTGGCCTGACTGAGGTAATCCAGAACGTCATCATTCATTCCTTGGCAGGAGTAGCGCCTCCACGACCATGGTGGTGATTTGGAGTCGTGGAGGTTTCCTAACAACAGCACGAAAGGAGTGTGTTGCGCGTACGGGACTGTCACTTCGTGACCCAAACATACCACGTGAACAAAAATCTGCTCGGACAGTAAGACGGTCGTTTGGATCTGGATCATTTTTTCGGTGCAGCCCCCGCCCCCCCCCGGAGCGAAAAATAAAATCTCCGAAATAATCATGCCGTAAGACTCAGCCTGAGTCTTACAGCAGTATTTTAAGCATGACCATGCGTACTCGCAGACGATTGGTTCGCTTCGTGGTATTCGAAGCGCGCCTGCCTCGCGTTCGGGGTCGCCCTCCCCCGCTCGCGTGCCCGTTGCCCGCCTCTCTTCCACCTCGCTTGTCGTTCCTTCTGGCGGCGAGCGTTCTGGCGCCTCGGCTGCTGGTCTTCCTGCCGGATCTTCCGCCGGCGATCTTCAGGACCCTACCGCCGTCCAACTCGGCGCTGCCGCCGCTGCGCTGGGGGTAACGGTTCACCCGGGGGCTGTGCGTGGCCTCCTCAGCGACGGCGACGATGAACAAGACGGCGACAGCGTCGCCTCCGTCGACGCGGACCCCTTCCGGACCGAGGAGGAGCTTCGCCAGCTCCGCGACGACGCGTCCCTCGCGACCGCGGTTGAGGGCAGCCTCCACCTCTCCGACGGCCCCCCACCGCCGGGGTCGCCGGCCGCCGTGGCCGACGCTCACGCCGACGCGTTGTGCGCCCGCGAGGGCTTCGCCGCCGTGCGGCCGCGGCAGCCGACTTGGCCTTGCAGCGTTAGATAGTGCAGCAAGCCGCCGCCGCCGCTGCTACTGCCGTCAGCTGCCTGCAGCTCCTGGAACGCCGCGCTTCCGACGCGGGCGAGGAGGTGGAGCTGGTCCGCGCTTCCGGGGCGCTTCGCATGGAGACGGCGCGGGCGGACGTTCGGAGGAGCACGGACGCTCTTCGCATCGCCGAGCGCTCGCTGTCGCCTACGCCCGCCGCCTCTTCCGAGCTTCCCCACCACGCGCCTTCGTATTCCGAGATTGTACGTGGATCGTCTTCAAGCTCTTCGGGACGCGAGAGCGGGAGCCCCGGGCGCTCCGGGCGGCAGGCCGGCCGCGCCACCTCCCTCACGCCGCCGGCCTCGGCCTCCTCCCCGCCCATCCCGATGGCGCTGCCAGCGCGGGCCGGGGCCGGGGGCGAGGGCGCTGCAGCCCGTTCTTCGCCTTCTGCATCGGCTGACGTGGCGTGGGGGATTTCGCGCTCTTCTCGGGCGGGGAACTCTTCGGCTGCATCGACCCATGATCTCCCGCCCCCCGCTTCTCCGAGGGCGGGCTACTGCCGTATGGGCACCACCGCATCGGTGGCCGCTGCCGCCGCCGGCGCCGCCCCCGTCTGCGGCGGCGGCGCGGCGGCGACCGGGCTTCATCACCACGCACCACGATTCACCAGCTTCAGCAGCGCCGGCTCCGGAGGCGGCGGGGAAACGGCGGGCAGGAGCTGTAATTCGCCGTCACACTCCGCCAACGCTCCGCCAACCGGCTTTGGGGTCCTCGGCCCTCCGCCGACCAGCCCCCCTCGGGCCGGCGCTCCCCGGGCGAGGGAACCGCCGGCTATCGCGCGGCGGGGGAATGTTGTGATTCGCCAACACGACTCCGTTGCCCGACGAGCTTCGACTTCTTCACGGAATCTGGTGCCTTCTCTTCGTAGCTCGGCGTCGCGGCCGTCGTCGGAGACCGAGCCAAGGGCGGCGCCGCCGCGTGCACACCAGCCACGCGAGAGCCCTCGGGAGCCGGCGACGTCGCGGGATCAATATGTGCGCTGACACACTTCGGTGCCCGCGCTAGACTTCGCCGCAGAAGAGGCGCGGCTTCACCGCGGTGGAACGGTCGCCTCGGGTCGGCCACAGCAACCCCGCGGGCGGCACTGGTCCGACAATCTCCATGTTCCGCGTGACACCCTCTCCGGTGAGATCGGCAGGAGGACGCTGCTGGACGAGCAGCTGGATATTCGACTTCACGACGCGGAACGAGCGTGTGCCGGGTCGGGATGGACGGACGAAGAGTTGGGGGACGCCTACACGCAGGCTCGCTCGGACTTCAGCGACAACCGCCGCCGCTTGTGGGAGCTCATAGACGCCTGCGATCGGCGTGAAGGCCGAGCGCACGCGTGGGATCCTCCTCGCGATTGGGAAATGCTGCGGGCGGTGGAAGCGGTAGCGGCGGCCGGCCGCCGGGAGCCGCCGTCGCCGGGTCGCGACGGTCAGCGTGAGCGCCACCGCCGAACTAACAAACGCTCGCGGCGGCAGCACAACCGCTCCTGCCGCGAGAGTTCTTCCTCTTCTTCGTGGTCGTCGGACGGCTCGGGAGACGACGGGGATGAATGGGGGGCGCCGCGGCGCCGGTCAGCGCCGGTGGAACGAGAGGCCGCCCATCACGTGCGGGCCTCAAGTTCTCGCCGGCAGGGCGCCGCGAGTGGTGGAGGGAAGCAGGGCACGGGGTCGGGGGGGGGAGGAGACCGCGGGAGTCGGCGTTCTGGGGAGGACGAGAGGGAGCGTCGACACAGCCGAGCGTCGTCTTCGAGAGGCTCGGAGGCTGGTGGATCTTCCCGGGCTTCGAGACTAACCCGTGTGCCGTGTTCTTTGTCCCCCAGCTCACGATCCCCTTCCCCACCCCCTCACAATCCGAAGGTAGCCTCTAAGCTCATGGCACTCAATGTGCACCGCATGTTTCAGCAGTAGGTGCGACCACGCCTGCCGTTGCCTGCCGGCAACACGTGGACGGCCCTAGTTACGTTGGTAGGTCGGCTACGCCATGTAGTCAGGCAAGGCCGACAGGCTTGCGGCGATTTTCACGCAACCGCGTGGGCTCCAGAGTGGACGTCGCTCGCTCAACAATTTCTAGTGAGTTGTGTAGCGGCGGAAAGTGGGGAAGGGCCGGTAAACAAAATTTGTCCAACGGCCGGGACCTCGACGACACAATCCGAGATAGAAAGCTCAACGGCCCACAAGGGTTTGCCGAGCTTGTCAGCCAACTCACGAAGCGGTTCACGAGCTTCCAGGTCAATTCCATCCCGATCATGTTGGCACAATTCTCCGTTCCGATCCACACACCCCTGCAAGATTGGATAGTCCAACTAAAAGAACTTGTAGAAGGGTTGTCGTGTTTCGGGGATTCGTGCCCGACAGACGCGCAAATCGTCTCAACCGCCATCGAAGGTCTGGCCGTGCAGTACCCAGAGATATCCCTCTTCGTGAAACCCAAACTCAAGAAAGCGGTGACTCTGGCGGACATGTGGAAGTGCTTTCGGGATGACGAGATAGACGAAAGTAACGCCGTGGCCAACGCACCCCCTGCTTTAGGAACGGTGTCCGCCCGATCAACACATTCTCACCAACCAAGGGTTCACGCGGTAGTGCGGGGTCGCTCGTTTGAAACATTGGCCCCTGGGCGCGAGTATGAATTAAGCAGTGACGAGGAAGGATACCAACGCACATCTCGACACCTATACCCCGTGCTCGGTAAAGGATCAGACAAAAACACATCTACGTCGAACAACTCTTCGTTCCGCTTCTGGAAATATTCCGCCGATTCGGTAGAGGGGGTGAAGGCTAAAAGCCAGCTGCCGCGTGACGCCTGCTACAACTGCGGTCGCACCGATCACTTCCTGCGTGATTGCCCTGAGTCCTTTAAGAATGAGTGTGGTATGTTTTGCGAGTCATTCGGGGAGGGTAGCCCCGTTTTGGTTGAAGAAAGATGGCAAGCCAAGCTCCGTAGCCTAAAAAGGAAACAACAAGCGAGGGGTCCCTCTTTGTACCCTGGAAAATAGGAAGTCGACACCGAGAGTTTCCGCCTCTCGGTGACGGAAACGTCGGAGCCTCACGGTGGTGGAGACGGGCGGAAACCGTCGCCGCCGCCCCAACCGTCTAATGATTTCCGACCTAGTGTAGAGAGGGGCGGGGAGCCATCTGGTTTCCCACCTACTTTGTCGGACAGTAGTAAAACACCGGCGAAGCTACCAGGTTGTGTAGCTCCGAAACCCGAGCCGACTCCGAAATCCGAACCGACTCCGAAACCCGAGCCGACTCCGAGTCCGACAGACCGAGTGCACAGTACGAGGTTGAGTGTAATTAGCTTAGCCGACCAGGTCTTGTGTCCTGGAGTCGTAGACGATAGAGAAGAGGGGGCTGTCCGCTTGATCGGTGGAATCCCAGCTTGCCCTTTTACGAAGACTTCTGCGGCTCAAAACCAGCCCGAAAAACGATCTGAAACCAAACTCCGAACCGAAGTTAGTATAGACAAACACGGGAGGTGGGGTGCCATGACAAAACCGGCGTTCAAGACGGCAGCGGCGGTTGTGAGCTCATCTCCCCGGGGTAGCTACTATGTGCCGAATTAGCGTTCCCCGCGTTGTCGATGCTTCCAGTTATTGCCGATCTCCCAACAAATCGGTTGAGTGACAACGGAGTAGAAGAAGAGACGAGTTGTTCCCTGCCGTCGGCTTCCCCGTTGGCCGACCTTGCAGATAGTGAAGCAGGCATCGCCGCACCAGCGACCGTGTCTACGTCTACTTCACCGGCATCGCTATACGCCCGCCCCGTTCTATCCGATCAGACGAGTATACATCTTATCTCACCCGTAGGGGCGGTAAACAATAACAACGATGGCCGAACAAAGAAACACAAGAAAAAAAATAAATCCGTGAGTGGTGTGCTGCCAGTTAAGTATAAAGACGGTTCGCCCTCCTTACCCACTTGGGGTAATAATCGTCCACGAAGCAGTCGAGCAATAGAGGGATACGAACTGCCTGAATTTCTCGAGGAGTATCAGGCCTTCGTACCGGGCGAAGCCCGGTTGCAGCAGTCCACTCAGGTAGCGCAAGTGAGTGTGTCTGCGGGGCGGGCCAGAGTAAAACATGTGTGTCGTGCGTTGGTAGACACTGGTTCGGGTCAGTCGTTTACCTCTAGCAGTGTGATGGATCGAGTGGTGAGAAGGGGTGCAGCGTTGGAAGAAGGTATCCGTTCCGTGAAAACACAAGAGTGAACGGGGTTCAATGGTCAACCGCTGCGCACGAATCAAATGGTTCGGTTAAACGTGCAGTTCCTCGATCGATACGATAGAGGGAGTGCCCGTTAAGCCGTGTAGGCATACATTGTGCCTGACGGGGTGATGTTTCACGATATTTTACTCGGTACAGATAGTTGGAGACTTTGCGCGTCGGGAATATATTGACATCGGCAGCGACACATGTTTGTTACACTTAGACAACAGCCCCCACTCATCGGGAGCGTCGTTCAGTGAGACTACATTTCCCCGTTCTGCGTCCCCGAAAATGGTGGCGGCGACTGCCGCGGCGGACAGGCCTGATTTGTCTGACATGATTGCAATGGTTGAGTGTCCCGACCACGATGGTAGCGAGTTCAGACTTGTAGTGGATTCTTCCGCCCGTTCACCGGTGGCAGAAGGGCAACGCGAGTGGGTGCCTGTTCGTGTTAAAATCGCTGCTGGGGTGACCGTGACATCGGGAAAATTTTACGCCCGGCTCGCGGAAGGGTTGAGTCCGCATGAAGTGTTGGTGGAAGCGGGCGGGTGTCATTTGCCATTGGCGATGTCAAACGCCAGTTCCCTCACGCCCAATGCGGTCATTTGTTGCGGTGTGACGCCGCTGCTTGATGTTCCTGTGTCCGACTTTGTGTTTCGCGAGACTGTAGTAACTGCCTCCCCTCGCGATTCGAAGGTCAACGTGGTAGACGGCTCGAGCCCGGTCAATCTTGACCGCCCCGAGCAACCGCCGGCGGAGTTGCTGGAGAATATGGCTCCTGAGTGTGAACGTGCTTTCCGCCGGTTATGGGCAACCGTGCCGCCGCATCTCAGAGAAATTAAATGTGGTCTGAATCATTCCGCGTGGCAACCTGAGGATATCGATAGCCTCGCTGCGCTCCTCACGAAATATTCTGATCGATTCTCTGAGAACCCGGTTGACCTAGGCTACTGTAGCACCATCCCTTTCCGAATTGAATTGAAGCCTGGTACGCGCCCTATCAAACAGCGCGCATATCGCCGAAATCCCGCGATTAATGCCAAGCTTCAGGTTGAGATAGATAAAATGGTGCTGGCGGGCATTTTGCGGCGTTCCAACAGCGAGTGGGCGTCCCCGGTGGTGTGTGTGATGAAAAGAACGGGTCGGTGCGAGTAACGGCCAATTTGAAACGACTTAGTAGCGCAACAGTAGTCGCCTGTAGCGTTCTGCCTCACATTGCAGAATGCATCGACCAGCTGGGGGGTAGCTCCGTCTTCTCGGTGCTCGACTTGATGAGCGGCTTCTATCAAGCCGCGATCCACGAGGATTCCATCCCCTTAAGGGCCATCGTGACGAATACGGGGTTGTACGAATTCGTTCGAGTCCCCATGGGGGTGAGTGGTGCGCCCAACCACTTCCAGTTATTGATGGCCACGGTGTGTGAGGGGTTGGAGCGGGTGCAGTTGTATCTGGATGATATCGTGGTGCACTCAAAATCAGCGGCAGAGCATGTGGTGCATCTCGAGAAGTTGTTGGAAATGTTGCGTATCTACAATCTGAAACTCGCTCCCAAGAAAGCGAATGTGGGTGCCGCCAAAGTGGAATTTCTGGGGCATTTGATCACCCCAACTGGCCTCGCGCCTGGATGTGGTAAGGTTGCGGCGTTGGAAAATATGCCTTTGCTTACGAATAAGAGCCAGCTGCGTTCCCTGCTGGGCAGTTTTTCGTATCTCCGCAAGTCCATCCCTAACTTGGCCACTCGAGTGCAGGGTCTCAACGAGATATTAAAAAAACAAGGAATTTCGGTGTACGACTCAACACGAAGAAACCACTAGAGCGATCCTCAAAACGTTGATGAGCACGACAACTTTGGCGTTCCCTGACTATGAGGCCGCCATCAATGGCTCCCGCCCGTTTCAGTTGTCGTCCGATGCGTCTGTTCATGGTTTCGGGGCCGTTCTGGAACAGCACCAGAATGATGGCACAATGCGTCCTCTCGTATGCGTCAGTCGATCGACTCTTCCCAACGAACGCAACTGGGACACGACTGACCTAGAAATGGGGGCGTTGGTTTGGACTGTAAAAAAGCTCCGAGTGTACTTGTACGGTATTCCCTTCGTGGTGCATACGGACCACCAACCGTTGACTAGCTATCTGTCTTTGAGTGAAAGAAGCCCCTTGTGCATAGAATGTGTGGCTTCCTCAGCAGCTATCAGTTTTCCTTGCGCTACAAAAAGGGGAACGATAATCAGGTAGCTGACATGCTTTCTCGGTTGCCGCAACCTGCGACCGAAGATGAATCGGGGCCGAACCGCCTCATAGGAGAGGGTGATCTAGCAGTGTACTTTGTGGGTGCGGCAAATTGCCTGTCTCCTCCCTTGAACTTGCAATGGCAGACATGCTTCCATGAGGATTTTGGGTCGTTCATGGAGCCCGTAGATCCGTTGACCACCGATGAAGTCGCGCAGGACCAGTGGAATCTGGCTGTCCGATCTCGTCAACGCGGCGTCAGTACCGTCAGGTATCAGGCGCCGCGGGTCCTCGCTATTAACCCGTCTCCCGTCCCTAGTTCCGCCCCCGTTTCCCATCGTACTTTCAGTGGCCAGTTTCAATCAGGTGTTCTGCTGCACGCGTGCTCGATATTTTCGGCCACCCCGGTGTTGCCGGTCTCCACCCGCTCCGCTGGGGACGTGCCTCGGTCGCCTCGTGCCCGAGCAAGCCGTCGTCCTTCCTGAAAGATTCGAGAACGGGAGGAGGCACCTGAGTCCGTCGCTGCCACCGCTGCGCCGGCTAGCGGCGGTGCTTCGGCCGCACGTCCGGCGCGTCGTGCCGCCGCCCGGGGTCCGACACCGCCGTCCCGGACGGGCCCCGCGGAGGACACACCGGCTCCTAGCGGGGCCGGTCGCCGTCACCGGCGCCAGAGAACGCCTCCCCCAGCCGACCCCGCGGCGGAACAGCCGGCTCCTCGCGGGGCCGGTCGTCGCGCCCGGCGTCCAGCCGCGCCGACGCCCGCTACTTGCTGTCACGGCACCTGAGGAGTCCCGTGATCGTCCACCGAGGCCGCGCCGAGTCTCAGCTTCGACACCTGACGGGCCCCAAGATCGTCCATCGAGATGGAGACGAGCCGCTGCCCCCCATCGTTCCCCGTCGGCCGCCGCTCAGCGCCCAACCTTCGCTACCGACGCGCGCGTCGAGTCGACTTGGCGATTCGGGGCGCGCTTGTGCGACAGGTCCGACCTCGAGTGGGCCGCCGAGCTAGCGCGAGACCCCCTGGCGTCTTACGTTTTCAAGTACGTGCGTGATTTTGACTCTTTTAGTTTTCCCGATGTGGGCGATTCTATTGGGGATTGGGTACTATCACTCTTAAAAGGATTCAGAAGTTGGCGGGCAAATGCACACTCAATGCCTCGCTCCGAACCGGTAGGAGCCAAAGACGCCCACCACGTGCTGCTGATAAAGAAACCATCCGAAGCACGTATGTCTCGCGCCCAACGACACAGCGGCGGTAAATTCGAAATACTTTTGGGGGATGAACCGGTCCGATTGTACGTTTCATTACTTTTGCGGCCGTGGGCGCTAAATGCGGTGCACACAGAAGGTTGTCATTTAGGAGAGGACGTGACGCTGGCTTCCCTCGAGCGTTACTATTCTTGGATTGGCATGAGTGACAGCGTGCGATGGCTCATTAAACACTGCATCGTGTGTCAAGCCTCGAAAACGGCTCGCCGAAAACCTAGATGGCCGTTGATTTCGCTTCCCTTACCCTCTCGGCCGAGGGAAATGGTGGCGTTTGATATTCTCGGCTCTCTGCCGACAACTAAACGCGTAAACAAATACGTGTTGCTGGTCGTCGATTTGCTTAGTAGGCATGCCGAACCCTACGCTCTCTCTGCCGACGAGAAAACGGCTCAGGGGTGTGCCTCAAAGCTAGCCGACGATTATTGTACGCGTTGGGGATGTCCGGTGTATTTGTTGTCGGATAGAGGTGGCGAGTTTACGGCGGCTGTTGCGCGTGATGTGTACCGATTGCTTGGGGCCAAGAAACGGTTTACCAGTTCATTCCACCCTCAAACCAACGGGTGCGTCGAAAGATTGAACCATACGGTCTGCCGGGTGTTGTCTCATGTGATTAGCGCCCAGCAAACCGATTGGGACGACCATCTCTTGCCTTGTGTGTACGCCCACAACAATCACGTGAGTAAGGCTACCGGTCTTGCGCCCTTGGAAGTACATATTGGCCAGTATCCTCGTTTACCGGTGACGGTTTTTGGGTCACAGAAGGTGATTTCTGGTATGCGGTCGAAAAAGCGGGATGATCTAGAATACGTCCAGCTTATGAAAGACCGGCAAGCGAAAGCCTACGAGCTAGTGGTTGAAGAGACAGGCTCACGAAAGAAAAACACCGAGCACGCGACGACCATCTAGACAACCTCATAACGAAGCGGCCGATTTTCCACGCGGGCACGTTGGTGTGGTGCTACGATCCACAGCACACCCTCCGTACAGCGAATGATGACAAAACAGCTTCTGCCAATAGGATTAAAGCGAAACTCGCTCACCTGTGGACAGGACCGTTTAAAGCGCTTGCTGTAGGGCCCTGTCGCTTTAACGACATGGAAGTTGGGTCCAAGTTGCTGTATCTGGATTTACCGCACGACACACAGGCCAAATCCAACCGTGTCTCAGTGTTGCGGTGTAAGCGTTGCCATCGTGCGGACGAACCCGAGGAAATCCACGACTTTTTACCTTGGAAAAATTGTTCGTACGTCCTGCAAAAATTTGCGGACATGACGCCTCCTTTCTACCTCACCGCGGATGACGTGTAAAAAGAGCTTGACGTACAGCGTGCACAGCCGGCCGCTATCACCGGTCACCGTATCAGTAGAGGTCCAGGGGTTCCATCGCGGTACAACACGAAACGCGTTGGCGCGGACACCGCCAACCCACTTGGGAATCTGAAGCAAACATCCAGCAGTATGGTGACTTTGTCGTGAAGTATTGGGTGGGCAGTGCAGTGCGTCAAGTAGGAGCCGACAATAAAGTGCACCGTGACTACAATGAGCTTGCCGCGCACCGCGCGCAAGCTCGCTCCCGTAATTCCCTTTATGTGCCACCAGGGTACGCGTTACTGGCGACGTGGGAGCGTGGGCCGGCCTTGCTGTCAGCGGAGATGAAAGGAGCGCATGTTTACGTGCGGACGAAGCAGGAGGGCTGGCAGCTGGGAGTGGTACATCAGGTTTCGAGGGCGCGGGAGGAGGACCTGCCGTACAACGTCAATTTCGTCGACCTCGAGCGGCGTTTCAACGTGTCGTTGTCGCCGACGAAATATTGTTTTGCGGTGGATGGTCCGCCTGGATCGTGGTGCTTCCTTGTGCACGTACGATCCGGGAGCGTCCGGCGGAACGGGACCTGACGGGTGCGCTGTGGTGGAGGTTTCGCCGTGGTGGTCGGGGTGCGCTGTGGCGGAGGTTTCGCCTAGGTGGTCGGGGAGCGCTGTGGAGGAGGGTGCGTCGTGGTGGTCGGGGAGCGCTGTGGAGGTCGGATGTTCGTGGTGGTGGGGAGAGCGACACGGCCCGTCGAGGATTTTTTCTCAGGTGGAGGCGGAGAGCAATTCGGAGCCTCGCGGAATAATGTTTTCGCGACGGGAGGAGAACGCGAGACGAACGACATCGCCACTCTTTTTTTTCTTCTGGTTCCGCGTGCTGTGTGTTCCGGATTTTTTGTCGTTGGTGTTGGCTTCTGATGCCGATGATGTTTTTGTTTCTGGTGTGGTGTGTCGGTTGTTGCTGTTTGGCTCTGGTGTCTTGGTAGAGACGTGCCGTCCTTGTTCGGGTGGATGGGGGGGTGAGGCACAGGCCATTCAAAAAATAGATGTTGCTTGTGTTAGATAAAAACTTCGTTTTTGCTGAAAATATTGATGGGCTGTCCCGCCTAGAGGTGTCCCGGTTCAAATTCTTGGTTGTTTTGTTGGTGCCTTGGTCATTGCGGGTGCGAATATCCGGGAGTGTTTACGTTCTCGAAAGGAAGGTCGTCGTGCTTTACTTCTAGGATAGGGGGTCAATGTTTCGTTGTGGTTCTACCAATTTTGGGCAGGAAGCTTTTGAAGCTCTTTTTCAACGCGATGTTTCATGGTGGTCACTCTTCGGTGAAATTTGGAGTTCCAGGGTAGGCAATACAGCAAGGTTCGTTGGCTTTTCTTTTTTCTCCCAAGACCGCCAAAGGTCTGCTCTCCTATAATAAATGTTCCGCAAGGAAGCTGAAGCTGAAGCTGAAAATGTGCTGTGTCGATGTCAAAGTGCTGTTGTGCTTGTCAAGTGCTGTGTCCATGTTTGTCCTTGTCAATGCGCTGTGTTGATGTAAAAAAAATCAGCTTCAGCTTCAGCCTTGCATTGGGAGAGTGCGCGTATATCAGACACCCGTGGGGAGAAAATTGGTCAAAGGATCGTTGATGTATGTGTCTCGGGTGGATTTCATAGCTTCATAAAGCTGGGGTGTGAGTTACAAAACAACGTGAACCGATTGATCTAGTTGTTGGGAGTCCTTTTGGGGGTCGGTCTGCACCGTCGGGTAGCGCCGATTTCAACAGTCAAATGTCCGATTGAGGGGAGTCACAGGGGTTCGTTGCCGCCTTTCTGTGGGGTGAGTACGGCGTCTTTCTTGCGGGAACAAAAATGCTTCCGTTCAGTAGAATTTGTAGTTATCGGGTATGAGCAAGACAGGTAAATATTGTTGAGCCGGGATTTTTGGGGTTGGTGCCGGCTGTCGTTTCCAAAACACGGCAGCGCGGTACGGGGCAAAGTGGGTTTCTTGACGGCAGATGGTAGCATGCAAATTCTCTTGGAACTTGTGTGTGGTGGTTTGTGTCGGGTTCCTCGGGCCTGAAGGGTTGACGAAGGCTTAATCTCGTGGAGTTAAAAATCGGGTCCCTGCTGCTGAAGATAGATAAAATTCCATGGCTTTTTAAGTACAATTGTTGTGCCATTTTCAAAAAGAAAGGATGTGTGTTATAAATTTTGTCGCCAGACAAGAGCGGCCGCGAGCGAGAATATACCAGTTTCAGTGTGGAAAATAGTACTTCATGCCAAATTCTCTCGGAGGAAAACATGACGTTGTGGATTACTTTTGGACGTAGTGAAAATTTTCCATCATGTCAAAAAGCAGTGTGGGGGAATGTGGTACGAAGTAGGCTCTCTTCAGGGGATGTTTGGGTTCGGTCCCCGCTTTGCGGCGGAATTGGCATATTTCTGTGGACAAAGGATGTTGTGCAGCAGCAGCAGCAGCGCTGCCGCCCATGAATTCAGAAGAGAGAGTCTACCAGGGCACGGAGCAGAAGGCGAGCTTGAGTGTCCGGTTACCAGTCAGTGCCTTGACAGAGTTCGAAGCGGTGGTTGGTTCCAGCAAGTGAGTGCAGGAGTTCGGTCGAATAGCAGCGTGATCGGCTTGAGTTGAGTACAGCAGGGAGCAGAATTAACGACAAAGTTTCTTCTTCAAAGCACCATCTATCATCCTCGGTCGTTGAGTCTTTTCGATCTATTATCTTCGGCGACAACCGCGCGAGACATGGAGCAACCCACTGACAAGAACCTCGAACCTAGCACAAGAACNCAGTGCCTTGACAGAGTTCGAAGCGGTGGTTGGTTCCAGCAAGTGAGTGCAGGAGTTCGGTCGAATAGCAGCGTGATCGGCTTGAGTTGAGTACAGCAGGGAGCAGAATTAACGACAAAGTTTCTTCTTCAAAGCACCATCTATCATCCTCGGTCGTTGAGTCTTTTCGATCTATTATCTTCGGCGACAACCGCGCGAGACATGGAGCAACCCACTGACAAGAACCTCGAACCTAGCACAAGAACCGTTAGCGTAGAGCCACATCGCATCGCTCTGCATTGGATTGGTTGATCGGGTCATCAGCAGAACCCGAATACCAAGTACAACAGCACAGCTGCACGGGACGGACATGAACATCGTCCCGATGAACCGAATAGTCTACACCGAACACCGAAACTCACCGAAACCCACCGGACACCAGAACTGGTCTGGCGCGGGTGAACCTCTCCGTCGTGCCGAACGGGCATTTGGACAAGATTTCTTTTTTTTCTCGAAACCCGAACTGCTCTATGTTATGGCTATTTCGCTGTGCGTGGAAGTTTGGACGAGATGGATTCGTTGCGCTAGATATGGCTACACTGACTGAAAGACTAGGTGATAGATACCACAGCAGTAGTCGCATGTGTTGAAAAATTCCTTGCAGTGAGTGGGGAAAGCCTGATGGATAGACTACTGGTGTGTTTTCCCAAAAAAAAGGAAAAAGAGACTGTACACATTCCGAGGCTTCCGAGCCGTTGGAGCAAGTCACTCACGATAACGGCTGCCCCGGGACCCGCACACACACAGAGCCGTCGCCAAAAGAGAGCTTCCTTGAGCACAAGCTCGGATCCCCAACACAAACAACCGAGACTGACTGCCAGGTAGCCTGTCAGACAGGTTTAGATCAGAGGAGGAAAGAGAGGGCGAGAAGCAAGGAAGACCGTTGGGTGAAGATCTCCCTGAAAATCCTTGGTGATCATCATCGCAGATCTTCGGCTGGGATATCTCCCCGTGGTCCATCCACTGACTGGACAACAAGGACACACTTGCACGCAGAACGGAGTACTGCTGTAGTAGCCTGCTGCAGCAGTACGCAGCGCAAAGATGCACAGAATCTCCGCGTCCGCTTCTCGCAGCCTGCCGAGGGATGACCTCAGGCGCTACAGCTACAAGCTCTCGTATCCTGACGAAGAACGTCGGGGAGTCGGGCAACGGGTGCTACCAGACGTATGCCGGTGCCCGCTGCCAGAGCGGCCAGACGCCTGGAGCGACGTCACGTGGCGGAAGTTCCTCACGGCGATGGCGCGCTTGCCTTGCAAGGTGTGCAAGACGGAAGCGTTGATACCTGCCTTGCCCACGCGATCCTCGCTGCCGCGGGGTAGCACCACGACTTCCTCCATCATGAGGCTGCTTTCGAAGGGCAAGAAGCACTACCACAAGGAGCCCAAGATACAGAACCCGCCCGCGCGGAGCGAGGAGGAGGCGGAAGCACACCACCGCGTGCCGCAGGAACAGGAGCAACAGGGGTCGTCGTTCTGTTCTACCGCTCCCTCCTCCGGTGCTGCTGCTGCTGAGGGTGCGGCGAGTACTACTCCCTCCGCTGCTGTTGCTGCAGTGTTCCGCCGCAGGGAAAGAGGTGGCGCCGCCCCATGGGACGACGAAGAGGAGACAAGAAGCCAGGTGAGACGGCGGAGTTTCTTTTCAAGAAAAACGCTCCCATGGTTCATTCGAATCTCTCCTCTGGAGGATGAACGAAAAATTCGCGATCTAGAGATAGGCAGTGCATCGACGAGAGTAAACACACAACACTTGACGACGCTGGACCTTCTCGCGTTCGAAGTCCAAAGGCAAGCACCGCAGGATAAAATGAAGGCGGAGAACAACGGCGATGTAGTGTGGCAAGATTGAGGAGGGTATTTATGCCATTCAGCTTTGCTCGCTTCGCTCGATTGCCAACTGAAGCGCATGGAGCACGGGCTCGGGCTATCTCAGCAACTAATCCCAGGCGAAATGTACTCCGAGGTGCAGAGCTTTTTTCCCATGCGTATCATAATACGTGTGGCCGATTTACCCGCCCGAGGAGAGCCTCAAAATCCTGGGAACCCAGCATATCGTCATAACACTACCAATCAATACAGCTCACCCTGACCGGAGGGGCCGAATAAACAGACCCTTTGTCTACCACAGATGAGACACAGATGCATGCTGGAGCTCGGAACTTCAATGCAGATTCGAACAAACGGACCTCTCTACCCCTCTGTACATACGTCCAATGACGAACGCAAACGCACCACCGCGCCTGCAAGTCGTTCAAAGACGACACCGGGGAGCAGCAAAAAGCAGAGAGCGGAACACCGAGAGCTAGCACTACTACATGCGGCGACTTTTGTGTATCTGGGTGAACAGTCAAAACATGAGCCGAAAGCTGGAACGGGAAGGCAGAAAACCTTGACAGGAACAGCGGAGTACAACAACAACTGAGAGCAACAGAGCTGCGGACAGCGGGCGAGCGCCCCCAAAAAAAAGCGTCGGTAGAACGAAAAACATCACAGGGGGAGACGTATTCGCGAGAACGCGATGCCGCAGTCCCCGGCATACCGCTCGTCGATGTCCTCCGGGTCGACCGCCTCCACCTGGAAACCCCTCCTGGCCATCGTCTCGAAGAAGAAGGCGCCTTTGTCGCCGGCCCACCTGCGCTCGTGGCAGCTCAGAATCACGCACTCGCTCGACGCGGCCCGCGACGATCGGACCACCGCGCTGAGCGTTATAGCCAAGGCTTCCGCGGCGCCGATCACTTGCTCCTCCTCCTCCTCCTCCTCCTCCGCCCCCGCCTCTCCCGAATC